CTCTCTCTCTCTCTCTCTCTCTCTCTCTCTCTCTCTCTCTCTCTCTCTCTCTCTCAGAGTCTCTTTCTCTCTCTCTCTCTCTCTCTCACACACACACACACACACACACACACACAGAGCAGACTGTCACAGCGTAATCTCCTCCTGATTATCGGTAAGAGTCCAATGACACAGTCCGGCACAGTACCGTACCTTGACAAGAGAGAGAGAGAGAGAGAGAGAGAGAGAGAGAGAGAGAGAGAGAGCGAGAGACACAGAGAGAGATTGAATATAGGTATATACAAAATTAGTTTGTGATTAATAAGAAATACTAGATAGTCTTATTTCTAAGCTGAGTAAAGCTCTGAGTACTGCGGGGGCGAGGTCGCGCTAGCACAGAGTGACTGGGTGGACGTGCCCGAGGAGAGTAGCAGAAAGTTTAATCTCCTATCCTCTTTGCTAGTGGGGCCTCAACCCAGGTAGAACTGTGAACACCCCCGCCCTCATCACCTTTCTTTTTTTTTTTTCTTTTTTTTTCTTTTTTTTTCCTTTTTTTTTTAACTCAAAATCTGATCATCTTTCCATTCTGAGGGCATACTCACACGGGGACCTATATTCCCAAAATCCCCCCAAAAAGGGGAAAAGGCCGGTCACACGGATCTACCAAATTCGCAAATGTACTATTCCTGTGCCGGTTTGTCAGCGGCCTGGGGCGAAGTCCCGCTAGCAGCGTTGAGCTACCTCAACGCCTGAATCTGGACGTGTCTGTGGAGACGTGCAGTTCAGGAAACTCAACACCATCCCTGCGCATCTCCACAAAAGCGTCCAGATTCAGGCGTTGAGGTAGCTCAACGCTGCTAGTGGGACTTAGCTTGGCCCCTGGGAAGCCCTGCGGCAACGGATTCTGCGGTCACCTATAATGCGAATTTGGAGGTGACCTAAAAAAAAAAAAAAAGCCCTTTTTTTTTCGCATTTTCTTCAAAAATTGACACAAAATCGTTCACAAAAGTTCTTCCACAATTTCTGGATGGCGCCGTGTGACCAGGGGCGTGGTCCCACTAGCAAAGAGGATCGGGTCGAATGCCGGAATCTGGACGAGATTAGGGAGATACCAGATCCCCGTTTCTCCAGAGTCCAGACGGCCGCGACGTTGTCCCAGCTGAAGAGGCCCTTTTTTTTTCGCATTTTCTTCAAAAATCGGCAAAAAATCGTTCACAAAAGTTCTTGTCTGAAAAGGCACAGCAGTGTGACGTGAACCATGCCCAAAACCTCAAATCGGCCCTTCCCAAATCCGCATGTTTTGCGGATTTGGGGTCGCAGTGTCAATATGCCCTCATTTGAAAGGGCAACGCAAGAGGTTTGGATTTTAAAAATAAATAAATAGAAGGGCAACGCCCTTGAGGTATCATCATGGAGCTGCATTCAATGGCGCTGCTGGGGTCGGGACCCACCACAGCCGTTTTTTTTTTTTTTTTTTTTTKTTTTGCACCACAGCCGTTTGACTCCGAATCCACGTCGTTTTCGATCACGTGTGGCGTCTTGTGACAGACCGTAGCCGTGGATGGAGATTGTTATCTGCGGCTCCCCTGGTTTTGTTTCCTTCCACTACTTCGGCCGGGTGTCGTCCAATGGTCGCTGTGGAAAGGGCTGTTTTTGTGTTTTTTTCCATTCCAATATATCGTCAAATAGAACTGCCCGGTAAACCGTAGGCAGAGAGGGATATATATATATATATATATATATATATAATTACCATCCGTATATTGAGCAGCCGTTGCAATTTTTACCATTTTTTTGGAGGTTGGGGGTGTTTTTGCAACGACTTCAAGTTGTGCAAATTCGACGAAACGAACATTTAGTGTCAGAACGAAAAACGAAAAACAAAAATGTGGCGGGTGCATCTGGCCATGTTCTAGCGGGAAGTTCATTCTCATTTTGCACATTTCGAGAGTGGTGTGGCGATGCCCTAAGTGTCAGTGCTTCGTACCATGGGGTACCCTGAAAGGGACTGACAGCCTGACGGCCGGGCTTTGGAAGACTGCGTGGACCAGGGCCACTCTGTACAAGACCCGTTCTGGGACTACCATTCGTTGTCTTCCAAATGGATGTGGTCGTTTTGGAGGCCACAGCCGTTGGAGTTTTATGTCTCAGGGCTTGGTGGACTTGGGGGCTCCTTGAACCCTCCTTGGGAAGGCGATTTTCAGGAATTGGAGGCTCGCCACAGGCTGTCGAATTTTCGACAGTAGGACCGTAGACAATTTCACTCCCCTTCGCCACATAGCCTGTCGAGGGGCAAGGTTGTCTGAAGTAGCCAAGTCGACTCAGCCTTTCCACAGGTGCTGTGTGGGGCGAAGGCGGTGGCCTGTCGGGAGTTGTTACATGGATGAATTTATGCACGCAAGCGGACCACGCCGTTTTCGACAGCCACTGCTGACTACGTACGGACAAACAGGCCATGGCTGTCAGGGAGCAGTCCCTGACAACGGAAAATCGGAGGCGTTTTTCGAAAGGTGGGCGGGCCACTGTCGAATTTCCGTCACCTGCGGGCTGGACGAAACTGTTGCTGGAGGGCGGCTGTCGAAAGTGCCATCCTGACACCTGTCGAAAGTTTTCTGAGCCGCAATTCTTCAAAAGTCTGTGTGGGGATGCAAAATTGTCGAAAACCAGGTTTTTGATAGCCCGTGTAGTGAGCCTCTTGGGCGTGTAACAGTTACACCGCGTCCTAATTCTCCAAATTCCTTGGATAAATGTGAAAACACTCCCGACAAATTTCTGTGGGTTCCTCAGAATCGCAAGCCAAAGTGTCCTCGGATTCAAGGGGCCCTCACGAGGTCCCTTGGGCTCAAGGAGCCGCGATTGACGGATCGTCGTGGAGTGTGCGTCGACACCGAAAATTGGAGTTGTTCGTGGTCCACAGGTCGTCCGTGGTCCATCGGGCGGACAACATCGGCTTCCGGCAGGCGACAGGCCCCCAATGGCATTGTGCCGTTACCGTTGGCGCGTCGAGGGTCCGGGGGCGGTTCTTCAGTTACGACGCCGTTCATGTGGCGGGGTTCTCCTTGCGCTCGTCGTCGGGCGTGGTGTCCAACGGGCGACTTTTTCGAAATTTATTTTATCCCTGCCGTGTGAGCAGCGCCGGCCAACTGCTGTTCTCCTCGACATCATCCATTGCCCGACATTGACATGCTCGCAGGAGGGATCTCCGGTCGGTGCACATCGACAACTGCTGCGACTCATGGCAGACGTCCTTTGACGGCTCCCGCTCCTGTTACTGGCCACTCTTCTCCTGCTCCTTGTCGTCTTGTTGCTCGCCTGTGTCGCTGTACAGGGTCCTGGTGGCAGACGGAGACGCCAAGTGGCAACGAAGGCGACAATGCGATTGACTTCTCCATTCATGAGCGGTCGGTGTCGGACCATCGTCCACCCGCATATGACCCCATGTTGTACAGTCATCTCCCGCCGCACGAGCAGCCGCTACCGGCGGATCCGAAAGAGGAATGGGTGGACGATCTGTCCCACACTCTTCCTCTGGGGAGCGGATCTACGCAAGAGTGGATGGGGAGGCCCTACCAGCAAAGGGAAGCAGGTCAGTCGTAATCGGCAATGCTGGAGGAAGGTATCAACGGTGGCGATACGAAGATTGTGGACTTGGATTTCGGCTTGTCAAGCGGGACAGCTGGAGTGGGTGCGAACACTTGTGCATCGAACCACGTGGGCGCCACGACCGCCGAGCAAACGTCTGTGAGTTGGGTGGGAGTGGCGGGGTTAGGTGGAAGATCCTCCCGTGTGGGTGGCATGATTGATGGGTGTCATCCAAAGCCCTCCATTTGTGGAGGCGTAGGACCAGCTGGCGATCCGCCGAGGGCAGTGTTACTCACCCACTCCGCAACGCCTTTGCCTGCACTGCGGCAGCGGGCGGCCGCACCGACGGCGAACACCAGCACTTCTCCACCGGAAGAAATTGGGAGGCAGGCGTGAGTCCTGTCGCCAACAAATGCGCCAAGCGACCGCTGATAACATAATGAACGGGGTGTCGCGGATGCGTGTGGGGAGTGATGTCGATGCGGACGACACCTAGAGGGCGAGTGGTGAAGAATCTCCAGATTCCTATTGCGAGGAGGAAGCGGAAGATGCGAAAGACTTGGAGATTCGACCAGTTGGTGTGCGTAGTGGACGGAGGGGTGGATGCGGACGTCAATAGAAGGCGGTGTCACGTGCTGGTCGTGGATCGAAGAGTCCTGTGGGCGAGAAGGGCGGCAAACATCCAGCTTGGAGTGTTGAGGAGATGGTCAAGCTCGGTCGAGCGAAGCAGGATCAGCAAGCTCATTTGGAATGCCGCACAACTACGGCCGCATGCGCAACAGGGAATGGAAGTTGCAGGACCTGCGGAAGCATCTGGTGGAGGTGGGCAAGAAGAGGACGACCGACGACATCGGCAAGAAGTGGGATAACCTCTTCCAGCAGTATAAGAAGGTGCAATGATACAAGAACGCGTTGTCGAGCG